GACAGCATCAGGTAATAGGTATCAGAAGACCCAAGACAAACAAACAAAAATACATACTGCTGAGAACACGGGGAATCAGAGAACAGACCCAAAACCCATCTGTAGGCAGAAATACATCCCCTCACAGAACGTTCACAAGGAAGGGATGAGTCAACCAGGGCGCAGTATAGCACCGATGAAACACACAATATTCCCCTGGTTCCTTGAGGCTTCCTCACCCCCCACTCTCATGACCCCACTCCTGCCTTTCACTTCGGGGTGTATCAACATGTACACTGGTACAGACAAGAACTCACAACACGTGGAATCAGGTCAGATAAGCCCCTCAGGAACATAAATGGGAGTAGTGATACCAAAACAGTAGGGAGAAGGTGGGAGGAAAAAAAGGGCGGAATGGGGAACTGATAACAAATAAGTACACACAACCACACCACAGCCCCCTAGGGGGATGAACAACAGAAACTGTGGGGGATGGGATACAGTGGTCACTGTTAGGATATGAAAATAATAATTAAAAAAATAAAACTATTATTATTATTCATCAAGAGGCCACAAAGGGGGGAGGGGAGGGGAGAAAAAGAGGAGTTGATAATAAGAGCTCAAATAGAAAGTAAGTGTTTATAAAATAATGGTAGAAACAAATATACAAATATGGTTAATATAATTTGTGTATGGATTGCTATAAGAACTGTAAGAGCCCCAATAAAAGAAAGAAGATTAACACCATGGAAATTTGACAAATTCAACTATGTTAAATTTCAACACCACCTTTCAAACAGCAACAAGAATGAATGAGGAGATCCATACACACTAGGGCAAAAATCTCCAAAGTTATCAATCCACCCTAAGATGTCACGGAGGATCAATTAACATGGGAAACAAGCACAGCCTTCCAGTCGTGGAGCAGCTTAAGGGACTTTTAGGATGAAATCAAACAAGAACAAAAGTGTATCCCTGACTACTGGTCTCCCAGATTCTACAGGAAGGAAGGTCTGGGTCCCCGACTGCACCCACCAGCCTGTGGCCCTCCTCTTCCTGTTCATCAGACTCCCCAATGCATGAGTTACAAGCTCATACACACTTTGTTACGAGATCAAAAACTGCCTCATTACCTTAGCAAGTGGAACAAATATATCTATGCATATTTTCTGGAGAAAATCCTGTAAAATACATTGCCTTGTTCAGTAAATTTTAACTTAGCCACAAATCAGCAATTTCCCCTCATTAGCGATGGATTATAAGAAAGCGGTTTTGGCTCCTCTTTGGACAAGATGGCTACACTGATTCTACCAGCCAGTGCTCCTCCTCACACTACACTCGTCACAGCACTGGTGGGGGTGCCAGTGGCTCCAGATCCTGTCCCAGCCCTGGTCACGGTTCCAGATCCAGCTCAGACTGAGCTCCTGAGTCAGCACCTGACAGGAGAGCAGTATTGGCGATGGCAGAACTCAGGCTCAGTGCAAGCCCCAGTGCACATGCTGGCACCTCGGCCACCTTGGCCTCCGCTCCCAGGGTCCTTTACTGCTGCACCTGGTCATTTAAGGGTGCTGTCCGTTATGGTGACCCTGCTGGGCAGTGTCCACGAGCCCTCAGTGGACAGTAGCAATGCTTTTCAGTGGCTCACAATGAATCTGAACAGGAAGTGTCTGTTGACGTGGAATTTTCAAGGAACATGTAAGGATTACATGAGAATCTCTCTGAATGAGTTCATCCTGGGTTGGTACACCACAGGCCACGATATCACCAAGTACTCTGTGCTGATCCATGAGTACTACAGCCCAGAGACACTCAGCCTCATTCACCTCACTGTGGAGACCAGCCTCCAGAATGGCCGCATGCGCATCCAAGCCTCTGTCAGCACTCCAGGTGGGCATGGAGGTGGTTTATGGCTCTGACCTTGAGATATGCATGTTATGACACCAAATGTATCAGAGTGACCTGATTATGAAGAGCTGTTTTAGCCCCAACTGGGTGAATGGGTTCTGCAGTGACTAGCAGCACGTCGGACTACATCAGCCCGCATCCAGGATGCTCTAAGTACAGTGTTGCAGTGTGCAGACGATGTGGTATCTGGAAAGGTGTCTGCTGACAATACTTGAAGAGCCTGCTTAACCAAGTACCCAAATTGTCTCTGATGACTTTGAGACTACGCTCAATAGCAACATCAGTGAGCTTGCGGTGGGGACCTACCTGGTCAACCTTACTCGGTCTTGTCCATCTGGGAAAGGGTCTGTGGTAGCTACAGTCTGTTGTCAATTTGAGACTTAAGAATGAAGGGGTGGAATTTAGCCTGTCAATCAGCTCACAGCTTGATGACCTCACTAGGAGGCCATAAGGAGATAAAAAGCTTACTAGAGACAAGACACTGATTCACTCCCTATGAGGCATGCTTGCTGACAAGACACATGGAGCTACACTAGAGTGCTGGAGCTGAAGGAGTCACGTGGAGACACCTGCCAGTGCTGAGATGCCTCTACTACCACTGGATCCACAAGACTTTCCAACCACTGGCCTATGATCTTCCTGCATTCGGCATCATTGCATGTGTTTCGTGAATCTGAAGAAGACTTTATAGATTGGTATGGACTTGACCTGGACTGGACGGGGATGTATTCTTAATGTACAATTCCTCTTTGGTATAAAGTGGTCTCTTATACACGTGTCTCCCTGGATTTGTTTTTGTAGTCTACCCAGATAACACAGGGTCCCAGGAAACACTCCTGACCCTCTGGGCCCCAAACCCGGGACTCAAAATAGAGTGACGGTGAAATGGTTTCTTTATTGACTTAAGTCACACTGAATCAGGCAACTGATGTGACTAAATAAACAGAGACCGCCTTTCATAAAGAAAAAAAAAAAGAAAGAGTTTGGAGATTTTGAAGAGAATGGAAAGAGACAGAGCAGTGATATTCCCTAGAGAAAAAGTTACACTTGAGTCACCTAAACGTGTAAGCAGATCTGCAATAGATAGCTACATTCATACAACAGGGGCACACATACGTGGCAACAGGGGTAGACCAGAGCCACGGTCACCAGCACATATCAAACTCAAAAGCATCCTGAAGAAAACACATAACTGACTAAGCCAGACACAAATAACAATTAAGTTTACAAAGAGGTAAACTAATCAGCATAAAGCTGATGGATTAAGATTGGGTGCTAGGGTGCTGCCCACTTCCTAGACACAACGAAACAGCTCTTAAGATTGACTTCCTGGGTTTGTAGGTCAGGACCATAGACTCGTGGGACATCTCAGTCAGCTGTATCAGACAGCTCTACAACTGTATGTTCTGCATCCTAGTTTGCGGAGTCAGTGCCTGGATCTTAAAAAAAAAAAACAGCCAAAAACTCAAAAGAGACTATAGTCTACTGTACTAATTGTCTACAAGAACCGCAGTTTCACCTACCCTGAGACCTAAAGAAGTAGAGGAGATGGTGCTGGTTACCATTCTGATTAAAACTATAATGGACGGGTCTTGATGGAATGGGAGCAAAATATGGACCAGAATCTCAAAATCACATGACACAAAATAAACAAAAAAAACAGCTCTACTGGACGAGGTGGGAATGAAGGACTCAATTGATTACTGCCACGAGGTGCTCTCTACAATTTGAATTGCAATGAGCAGCCCCTGTGGTCACCTTTAATCTTGGCTGAAATAGACTGGTTAACAAAAAAATATATCAACCAAAGGACCTTATGAGACCAAAGGACCACAATAATTTTATATAAAGATGAAGTTGTAAAATACCAGAAAATGAGATTCAAGGAAAGTGAACAAGAGCAAAATATTGAGCCTGTTCATGAATTGTGAAGACTGTAACCAATGTCATAGAAGAATTTATGTAGAAACTGTTGAATGGGAAATAAAACTGCTATAGAAATATTCACTCGCATACACAAACACAATTACAGAGAGATGACAACATAGTACTTTCTTATGAAAATAAAACAGCACTTCAGGGTCAATAATAACAATCAGAATCCCAGCAAAAGTAAACTCATCAAATGCACATGTTAATAATCTTCAGGCAGGAAGTAGAAGAGATCAGATTTGAACACACTGGGAGGTCATGAAAGCTGACAATGCCTACGTATCATCAGAAATCCAGATTCCTGTTATTTAAGCCAGACACGGACAGTAGGTGCACTGCTTATGATAAGTTGCTGTTGCTAGGTGCCATCAAGTCAGCTCAGACCCACAGTGACCTATGCACAAAACATGTGACAGCCTCACAGCTGTTCCTATGACTGAGCCCACGGATGCAGCCTCTGTGTCAACCCATCTCGTTGAGGACCTTCCTCTTTTACACGGAACCTCCACTTTACCGAACCCGATGTCCTTCTTCAGGGACTGCCTCTCCTAACAGCATGCCCAAAGTCTGTAAGACAAAGTCTTGCCATCCTTGCTGCTAAGGAGCACTCTGGCCTTACTCCTTCCGATACAGATCACTTTGCCTTTTAGCAGTCCATAGTACTTTCACTATTCTTCTCCAGCACCACAACCCAAACGCATCAATTCTTCTACAGTCTTCCTTATTCAATGTCCAACTTTCACATACATAGGACGCAACGGGAAATACCATGGTTTGGGTCTAAGGACCTTAGTCCTCAAAGGAACATCCTTGCTCTCCAATACTCTAAAGCAGTGGTTCTCAACCTTCCTAATGCCGAGACCCTTTAATACAATTCCTCATGTTGTGGTAACCCCCCAATCATAAAATTATTTTCGTTTCTACTTCATAATTACACTTTTGCTACTGTTATGAATCTGCAAACTCCTGTGAAAGGGTCCTTCGACCTCCAAAGCGGTTGAGACCCAAAAGTTGAGAACTACTGCTGTAAAGAGATCTTGTGCAACAAATGTGTCTAATGCAAACTGGCTTTTGATCTCTTGGCTGTTGCTTCCCTGAGCACTGATTGTAGATGCAACCAAGACAAACATCCTTGACAACTTAAACCTTTTCTCCATTGATCATGACATTACCTACTAGTCCAGTTGGGAGCCTTTTCGTGTGATCTGCATATCACATGTTGTTAAGAAGCTTTCCTCCAATTCTAATGCCACATTTTTCTTCATATAATCCAGCTTCCTTGAGGATTTGCTCAGCATACCAATTGAACAAGTATGGTGAGAGGAAATAATCCTGACACACACCTTTCCTAATTTTAATCCATTCAGTATTCCCTTGTTCTGTTTGTCCAACTGGCTCTAGATCCAAGTTCAAGTTCCTCATGAGCATAGGAAATATTCCAGAATTCCATACTGCTCAAGGTTATTCACAGGTGATTAAGGGCCACACAGTCAAATGCCTTTACAGAGCCAATGAAACACAAGTCAAGATTACTTTGAGGAATTAGGTGTAACTGACCCAAACCAAGGTATTTTGAATGGCCTGCCCCATATGCATGTCCAAGGTGGGCACTGGATAAGATGGAAGAAGCACGATGCATTTGAATTATTGGCAATGATTACTGAAAGTAATATGGATTGGCAAAAGAACAAACAATATGTCTTGGAATAAGTACAACCAGAATGCTCCTTACAGTCAAGGATGAACAGACTTCGTCTTACTTACTTTGGACATGCTGTCAGGAGAGACTGGTCCCTGGATAAGGACATCATGCTTGGTAGACGGGCTACAAAAAGAAAGAAAGAAATGCTCTCAACAAGATGGACTGACACAGTGGCTGCAACAATGGGCTCAAACGTGAAAACATTGTGCAGACGGCAGGGGCCAGCCAATGTCTCCTTCTGTTTATACAAGGGGTCACTACTGTATGGACCAACTTGATGGCCCCTAAACAACATCATATAGGTTTCAAAACCCCAGAACATTTTGTTCATTAAAAAGAAAGTGTGTATACGAAGCTATATTTACTATAATAGAGGAAGATGAATAACACGATTTACCATTACATTTTCCTCTTTGGTCAGGTCAAAGAGGAATCCAAGTTTTTGAATTTGCACCCATTAAACAGACCATTTCTCAGTAGAAATGCAAGGTAATCTAGAAATTTTCTTGCAACGAAAACTGTAACCCAAAAGGAAAATACATCATCTTGCATGTTGAGCTGATCATGAAGAAATGATCGCTTTTAAAATGATCCTATTCTTTACTGTGCAGAGCAGCTGGAAAGTAGATTAACTACCAGCTTGAGGCAGAAATGGTGGGAGGACTAATCCTTAGATGGCAACAACAAACTTCTCACACACCTGAAAGCCTCCAGGGAAAAGCATCCCCCCAAACAGATGGATCTGAAGAACTCCCACGTGCCCCAACAGGGCTCCCAGCCCGCTACAAATGATTACATTGGAGAATTTATGAGGATCAAGCCCTGCCCCTGGACCCTATTAACAGTGGAACTGTGGATGGGGCAAGAATGGCTCTGCAGGGGCTTGGACTCAGCCTCCGCAATTGGGGCAAATCCATCTTCAGACCCTGATACGACGGGTTCTGTCAGTCAATAGAGAGAATAGAGGCCAAGATGGGGCCTGCATCAGCTCCCAGTGACACATGTGGAACATGAGTTCAGGTATACAAGACTTGAAAAATCATATATGTACACAGAAAATATCCAGAAACAGGGGAGCAAGGTCTCAAGACACCTCATGGGGTTCAGACCCTTGGCCTTTCTAACAGCTCTTAAACCTGATAGAAGAATCCCAGGGCCCAGAGTGCACAGCCCCCAACAATTCCATCCAGCTCACCCCTTCCAGTTACACAGCCCCAGGACTCTGTAGCACTCACCATTTCCTGGCTACAGCTTCTGGAGGTGCACGTGAATGTGCTCTCTAAGCACAAGGAGACTCTCTAGGAAGAGGGCTGCTAGTGCAGGCAGAGCCACTGGGCAGTCTGGAAGCAGGTGAATGATGTCTGGTCCACAGGCAGGCAGAACAGTACAAACCCTTGCTTGGAATTTCATGAAAGTACAAAACGGCCGTCCTTGGTCTCCAACTGTCTAGACTTGACTGGCTCTCTGTTCACCAAGCCGGGGACCTGAAATGGAAGGTGACAGTGTTGAGTAAGGAGGGGCTGTCAGATTCTTGGGCTTCAGCTGTTGCCCTGGGCAGAGCTTCCTCCCAGGGTAGACCTGTCTACACACCTGACAGGGAGCCTGGGTGGCATCATGTCTCAAAGGTCTCTCTATTAACCCACAGGTCAACCAATGGAACCCACCAGCTGCCCCACTGGAGAAAGGGGTTGCAGTCGGCTTCCATGAGGACGCACATCCCTGGAAACGCTGTGCGGCAGGAGTCTGTTGACTTGGTCTCAGAGGGTCACTATAGGTCAGAGTGGACTCCATGGAAACAGGTTTGAGTTTCTATACGTGGCTCAATCCAAACTGATGCATGTTTCTCTTGCCTCCTACCATACTGTGAAAATAACACTAACACTACATACTCTTGTAGACATGTTGTTAATGTGAGTTACCACTGACACACAATCACTTTTCCATAGAATCCCCAAGAAGGGCTGGCTGCGTGTGCTTGTATTGAGCCAAGAGAGGTTTGAGAGAAGATGTGAGGAACTGGATCATGCAAGCCTCCACTGACCTACCTCTGAGGTGTGGTGGCGGGGTATCAAAACCAGATGCTGCACATGGAGGCTGAGGATTCTACCACTGAACCCTCAACCCCACCTCAATTTCTGGGACTCCACAAATGTTTGACACAGAAATTGTTAACTTTGATGACAGCCATCCCAGTGGGCCTCCAGCAGTATCTCATTTTGGGTTTGACTTGTATTTTCCTGATCACTACAGACTCTGGCCATCTTCTCCTGTGCTTATTGACTCCGCAGCAATGATGAGCGTGCATATATTTACCTCACACTGGTTGTGTGTCTTCTATGCAGAAAACATTCATACACGTTCCTTTTTTTGTGCATGGGTTCCTTCATTGTTTGTTGGTTCTGAGGTGTAGGAATTTACATATTCTGAATTTGAAACCCTCATTTTACATATGCTTCCCAAATATCTCCATGATCTATGTATATGATTTCTGGATAAAGTCTCTGATTTGTAGTTCTGTCTCAAAGTAGAACATCACTCGGTATAGCTCTCTGTAGCTGGGGCATTTTGAAAGGAATCTCCAGGCCTTTCATCTTACTTTCATCTAGTTTGGTCTTTATTTCTTTCTTAAAGTGCCATAGTTTTCCATGCATAAGTTTTTGCCCTGGTGTTTAAATTTACTCCGAGGTGTCGTTTTAGACACTATTCTAAATGGAAAGGTTTCCTCAAGACCCTTTAAAGCTCTTTGTTGGCGTATAAATCTGTAGCAGATTTTAACACGTTAATACCACCTTCTAAAATTTTGCTGAGTTCATTTATTAGCCATAATACTTGATGGAATCTTGGGTCTCTTTAATAGACAGGGTTTTATCATATGCTAATATGAAATAACCTTCAAAATGGAAACACAGGCACAGGTGTATGAAGGGCAGAGCCATGTAAATAAGGAGCCACAGCAAGAGGGCCTGTCAGAAACTGAAACTCAGTTGCTATGACAGGAACTGATCCCATGGCACCAAACAACATCCCGACTGCAGAGCCACTGATAATGACTTCCTGAAATTATTGTGCTTGCTGTGCTTTAAAGAGACTGGTGTTCTGTTTCAAACATTCATCCTGCATTTGTTACTGCCATTGTCCTCTAAGCGTTAACTTTCCTCTCACCACTGTATGCACTGATGAAGTTGTTTCTATCAGAGTGGGTTAGTGGATGTTAGTATTTACACACTAGTTTCTTGCTCAAAATGGCACAGATTAAGCTGCTGTACGTCGCTTACTATATTTTTCTGGGTTTGTTTAATTTTTCAGGTGAACCCCAGTATTAATGCAAGAAAAACCCTAAGGCACAGTCTAATTTCACAAATGGGGATGCCAGGAGATGGAATTACCCACACCTGAGCTAATGAAAAATTAAGGATGAGGCTAGTGTAGTCATGTCCATGGAAGCACACAAACATAAGTTGCAAACACTAAATCAAAACAATCCTCGCTGAAAAATGTCTACAATTCATGGAAACATACCCACACTGAGGGCCCAGTGAGTCTACATTCGGAACAAGCAGGCCAACTAGGGGCCCTGGTTGAACGACTGACTGGCTGCTACAGGATCCCTAGGCAGTTGGAGCCCAAGACCTGCCCACGGGGGCACACAGGGGGCAGCCAGAGACCCTCAGGAGGAGTTCTGGGGTCACATGGCACCCTAACCCTGAGAATGGACTGGGTGCTCCACTAGCCAACGCTCAGTGACCGCAAACTGCGCCTTTATCAGAGACACTTGGCTACACGGACAGAGCACTCGTGACATGACCGCGCACTGTGTCCCAGGGAAAACGCCAGATAACGTGCAATCAGACAGCATCATCCCATGATGAGGAATTCTACTGCTGCACTCTGGGGTCTTCAATTAGAAGTCAAGCTGAGCCGTAGTCTCAGGAATAAGGAAATAGAAAGGATGTTGGGCCGGCAGGCCAAATAAAAGAAA